ACTATCCACCTTCTGTATAAACAGAACTAGCAACATGGCTCCAATGCACCAAAATATACTGAAAAACACTTTATAATACTAAATATTATCTCAATCTACTAAAATGATCAATAGTATACTTAATAGATACAAAGAGGCTGTACATTTTCAGAACATTTGAACAGATAGTAATATCATTAGTGATCTAGCAGATATTAAACAACATATCACAGATTATTTTAATGAATAGACAGCACACTAACCTTATAATAATACAATATTTAATCAATATTGCAAACAGAATATAAACCTATTCTCTATTAACTCATCATGGTATAATTCTATACTTGAAGAGATTAGTACAAAGGAGGTATTACAAACCATACAATAATTACCAAATAACAAGGCTTGCAGGCATTTAGAATCAGTTATGAAATGATTAAATATACAGGCCCTGTATACTACTTGCAATTACTGTTCTACTCAACCAATGTCTTACTATACACAATATACCTAAGCAATAGAAAAATAGTAGGATTTAACCTATATCAAAAAAGCCTCAGTTTGATGGCAACCTCAACAACACCTGTCTCATTAGCTTTATTGAACATATCACAAAACTCTATACTAAAATCTTCACTAATCAATTAACTAAAGTTTTTATTATATACTCTATTCTTAATCTTTACAACTATATTGCACTCCCTGACAACTTTACCAATAATCTAATCTATATACTTAACAATTTTTTGGAAAATGCCAAATGTACAAAAAAACAGGCCTAGATTCTATTACAAGATATGAATAAGGTCTATGATTCATTTAATATACATCTTCTTAACAAAGCTTTATAATATCTAAATATGCTGACTCAACTTATACAAATTATTTTTAACCTGCTACAAAACTATACCAACCAAATTATTACTAACTACGGACTAATACCTCTATATAATGTACAAGATAAAATTAACTAATGAGAGATGATAACACCTCTTCTTTGGCATATTTACTATAATTCTCTTATTACTAGCATTAATAAAACATATACTAGATAAATATCTACAGTTGAATGGATTATCTAACTCAATTCTATTAAATATCAAAATATATTTATATCTACATCAGTATTAGCATATATGGATAATACCTTGTGGCTTGCCAAATTACTTGAACAATTATAACAAATTACACAAACACATCTTTATTCTACAAAATGGCAAATATCAAAGTAAATACACAAAATCAGTTCTGGTATTCAACACTAATCAAACTCCAGATATTAGCTTTATAAACAATTCTATTTAAATACAATCTCAACATACTCCATTTAAATTTCTAAGATGCTAGTTTACAGCCATACTTAAATATGCTACACAAATTAAACTTATCAAACAAAAAGCATTTGGTTTTAATTACATACTTAAGACTAAAAATATAACTGACAAACAAGCTGCTTAATCATTAATATTATTATTATTCCTATTTTAGAGTATTATATATACAATATTGTGCTTTCTCGAACCACATATAACTCAATTTTGGCACAATATTTAACTATAGCTAAACATAAAGTTATTATTATATCTAATAGCACATTACTTAACACAATATATATAGTATCAAAAATATATAGAATATACAATTATAACACCACATTTCTAACTTTCTACTATATTTAAATGACCAAGACTTTATGAACTCCAGCACCCATATATGACTCCAACAATTATAAAACAATCTTTGGTTCACAACCAATATTTTTCAACATTCTCATCTACTAATTAATGGACCCAACAAAAAAACAACTACTTTTAAAATTATGCAACTACTTAACTCATTTCAACTAGCTATCAATATATATATAAATTATCTTCAACTATACACACTCCATTATCCTTACACATCTATTGAAAAATATCTTAATATACACAAATCATATTTACAATTTATGATTAAAGAACATTATCTATTTAGAACAGCTCACATCATCTGACAACTCTAATTTGCTAGCATAGAACCACATATCACCATGAATATAACATATTCTAAAAGGACATAAACCGCTATAGTTTATGATTCTTGAAGAAAAAATAATTACTAATCAACTTACCAGACAGATCAATTAATACCTAAACTTACCAAACATTAACTCAATATTATTTCAAACTAGACAATATAAGAAATCTAAGCCCTGACTAATTACATATAATGATAATTAACATATTATTATTGAAAAGGCCAGAAAATATAACTCTACTAATGACCAAATATCAATCACACACTGAAATATTACATTTGATCACTTATATACTAATCTCTACCCTATACTAATATATACCTATAAGCCATGTATTGGATGCTCTCTAAACTCTAAGCAGGTTTGAAACAAATATACAGTTAACATTCCAGCTAGTTTATCAACAAAATTCTTAGAACGAAAGAAATATGCAGAAACTGGCATTATACTTAACCTCAATGCTAATTTACTCGACTTGCTATACTTCTTAGCACTATATAACTCTATAAATATACCAACACAAACTACAATTAATATCTAAAATAATATAATACTTGAAATCTTTATTGATAACCAACTTTTACAGACATTAATACAAATTGCTAAAAATAACTCAACTTAATATTTTATACAGATAGTTCTGTTAGAGATATCACTACAGAACAATATACTATGGGAGTTGGATGAGTCCAAACCCAAAATGATATCATTATCCATACTTATTCTGCGGAAATTAATCTTTGTCTATCATCTTACAAAGCTGAACTTGTTGCAATACTCTTTGCTATCAGTACTTGTCTAAGAAATAGTTCTATTGTTATCTACACAGGCTCACAATCTATTATATCTAAATATAAAAAGCTTATACAATTACTATCTACACTAAGCAAAAGATACTTCTATAACTACTAGCCAATATGATATACTTTACTTAATCTGATTAAAGCTTACAAGCTCAACATTTAACTTGAAAAGGTTACAGCACATAGTAATGATATCTTTAATAACTTAGCTGACAAACTAGCTAAAAATGCTAATTATTCAACTATACTTCAATTCATAAATAACAACATATATAATCCATCCTACCAAATTCAATATGAACAATATACATTTGAGCAACCTACTCATAAATCTATTTAAAACAAATACAATGCCTATATTATAGCAATGTAGTCATCACAATACTGCATGGATAATATTATACTCATGTCATCTTAAATTAATTAGAATGCAATCTGGCTATATTTAAATAACAACTACAAAAGATCAACTACTTATACCAATTTTAATTATACTAGCAAAAGACTTTCAAAATTAAACTGATGCTTAAGTTACTTTCTATTTTAATACACCAATATACACTATACCCATTAACAATTTCAACAGACAACTATATAATATATAATTCAAGAAAAAGTCAAGAATACTGGCTTATTTGCCCAGATACATCTAAATTAAACATACTTATTACCAATACTATATAACAATTCCTTCAATACTCCAAACTAGATATTACTAATATACAACTATATGAGCTATAAACCAAGCTTATAAACTACACAAGCTTTTCATTCAATTATCAGCATAATAATATTAATCTATATACAACTATACAAGGGTTTATCCCTACATTTCTAATACAGACTATAAGAGAATCTAAAGATTTTACTCAAATTGTACTAAAAATAACCATTCAACTACTTTTACAACTATCACAAAACATATATAACCAGTTATAAATACTATACTTACACAATAGAAATAATAAAACAATATTTCTTTCAGATCTAACTGTAATACAGTACAACAAATTTCGATGCAACAACTACTCAAAACACTATACAATATAGAATACCATATACTTATAGCTGCTTTTGTAATCTGTCAGACTAACAACATAATAATAATACTTGTCTACCTCTTGGCAAAACAATTAGAAAAATATCTTTATGGACTATTATATTGATTAAATATAGTATCTAAACTAATAATATTTTATATTCTCAAATCTAGATGAGTTTTAACCAATCTAGTAGGTTTAGGTTACAGATAAATCAAAATTTCTAGTTTAGATAGTTTCTGGTAGTCTGAGTCTTATTCTTGTAAAAATTTTTGTAAATTGGCTCCAGTCAGAGGAACTCATAGTGAATTCTCAATACAAATTATTAATAAAGATAAAAACAAAACATCACTTTAAAAAAAAAATTTTATAATATTGTAGTAAAAGTATAGTAAAATAGTAGTAATATAGTAGTAAATAGTAGTAAGTAGTAGTAGGTGTATTACTAATATATTGTAAATGCAAAACTATAGCTACTATAAAGTAACTATATAGTTACTTTATAGAAATTTTATAGCTAATTGCAAGTAATATTAAAGTTGCAAATTTGCAAGTTTTTGTAAAGCAATAATTGTATAAATAATTTGCTTAAATAATTAATAATTATATTTTTAAATAAAAAATTAAATTAGAATGAAGGCTAACTTATAAAGTTTATATACAGTTATACTTCACTATAATTATCTCCTATAATGACAAATTTTATATTATCAACTTAAATTTTAAAAAAATTTATTAATAAACTTATAAAAAATAATTCTATATAAGCATATCATAATAAAATTTTGATAATTACATATTTTTGTATAAAACAAACTGGATGAGTATAGAGGAGCATAACTATAATTGATAGTAGATTTTGAAAGGTGAAATAATTATCTAACAAATGTGTAGTGCTATTAAAAGAATAAATATGACTTTAATAAAATATATTTTAGTCGTAAAAGACCAGTTTGTAATTATTATATTTGATATATGTAAATTAATAAATTTAATAAGAAATTGTAATCATTATAAACTTATATTTTGTAATAAATTATTAAAATAGCATTTGATAGATTGTTGGATAATAAAAAATAACCAAAATGCTATTTTTTCTATTGGTAGCACTCATATATTAAAAAATTATTTATAGAATTTTATAGATGCTTTAAAATTTTAAGTCAAAGCTAATTTTTCAACAAACACTTTAACCTGAGGAATATGTTTTCATGTTTAAATACGTCAAATAATAGTTTAATATAACTAGGAAAACAAATGCTGTTATATGAAATATGCAAGGTACTTAGATTGTCGGATGATAACATTTCTTGGTCTTTACTTATCTAATGCAAGTAATTAACTACGCTCCAGACAATAACATCATACGTAATCACACTTACTTTTAGGCTAAACTATAATATTTATAAGAAAAAACCTTCATGTAAACACAACTCCATTATAAACATATTTTTTTTAAGAAAATTACTATGTACATAACTATGTGATTGTATGGGAGGACGACTATATTTTGATTAATAAAATATACACTGATTGTTTATCATGAATAAAATTATTAAAATAAAGATACCAAATAATTAACCTTCATAGTGAAAAAGGTACAATCGATTATTGGTATAACGAACACTGCGGTTTATATGTAAATATTTTCAAAAAGTTTCTTATAGAGATTTATTTTATACTGAACGCTATAATAATTTTGCTAAAAACAGTTTGTTAAAGAATAAGTTATAAAAAGGTCCATTATCTAGAGTTGGTTGATTTACAAATATATTGCGGCACAAAAAACTTGACTATCTAGTAAGTACAAATAAATATAGATGTTGCATAATATAAATGCAGTTACATGTTTGACTCAAAATACACACTTTCACTTTCCTACAACTATCTACTTCGTTACACAGCCTCTTTATTATCATCTTGTTTCTCCTCTGGTATATTCCCATCTTGTTCCTTTTCTGGTTTATTCCCATCTGGTTTCTCTTCTGGTTTATTACCTGCGTCTTTTTTGCTTTGATCTTGATCAGCATTAAAAAAAATTTCAAGTATCGATCGAAAAATCGTAAGTAGAATCATAAGGGAAGTTGCACATAGTGTAAAGAATGGAATAATACTGTAGGTTACAATAAGACGGAAATATAAAGTCTATTCCAAATAACAAATCATTAATTAGTATGATTTGATGAGTAAACAGATAAACTATCAACAATAAAAATTTTACCTGAATAATTAGTTGCGGAATACTCTTAAGTAAAACATCAGCAAAAGCTCTAAATTTAATTATTTCTGAATAATCTCCTTTAAACAAGTTTTTAAGTTGGTCTTTGTTTATAAGTAGTGAATTTTCGCTATTATATACTGATAAAGCAAAAGTTATCAAACTCATAATGTTAAGTTCACGGAATCCTCCTGTGGACAAAATAAAGGTAAAAATAATAACATTTATTGCTATTGGAGTAATCCAGAGGATTTTACTGGTTTAAAATGAAAAAGTTAGCTAAAATAGAAATTTTGATTTTTCAATAAAGCAATTGATAAAATACCTTGAAATACTGAATACTGGGTAATTGTTAACATCAGAAAAAGAAAAAATGCTTGATAAAGTTGTATGCGAAGCAGAGAATAATCCAGCTGCGGCTGTATTGATAGTTTGTTTGAAATTGTCATCAGGCTATTAAAAATATTCACAATAAAAGGTTTTATTATTTACAATATTAATAAAGTTGGTCGAAAAAAATTAGGAGCAAATTATTACCTTATCGGATTGAGTTGAAAGGTAAACGATAATGTTTGTTGCAGTAATAGATAAAAAGGGAACAATTTGATCTTTATAATCGCCAAATAAATCACCTTTCAGTTTAAAGCCATAATGTTCATCTAAATCGTTTGTTAAACCATCGGAGAAAGTGGTCATCTTCTTATATTTTATCATATTATTTATATCTGATACAATCCCTGGAACTGTATTATTTTTATCAACTTTTGAATTTGTTTTATTTACACGGATATTAAATTGAATATTTTCTATGGAGTTCATAGAAAAATACTGAGGGGATCCAACTGTACTTAAAAGTTCAGGTCGGATTGGTAACTTTTTAGCAATATCTTGTAATAGAGCATTAAAGTATACTGTTCTATTGGCATCAGAGAGCGATTTAAATTTTTTTGTTGCATCTGTAGTGAGACGAGCTGAATAGATTGCACCTTCCTCTATAAAGAAGAACAAAAATTTAGTGATTGAAAATTTTAAAATGTGAGAAAAAACTTTTATTAATTAATTACCTGATGGACGTGGTAGATTTTCTAAATTATATAAAAAGATTAATTGAATTATATAAAAATAAAATATAGATAAACGAAAAAGCTTACTTGATTTGTAATTTAAAATATTTCCACCAATTCCTTTTAAAGGTTCATAGAGCTGTTCATCTCTAACAAAATTAGCATCCATCTGCACGTAATAAATTGCATTGAATTCATTAAATGTACTGCCAATGATTTGTATTTTGACAATTGTATGATCATCATTAATGGTAACATATTCATCCATTGTTGCAGAAATTTTTTGTCTTATTGTGTTGTCGGAAGATTTGTAAATGGTGATATTACCGGTTGACAAAATAACAGGACTTTTAAAGGTAATGCTTAAAGTATTTGTTGATGAATCGACGGTGCTATTGGGTGATGGATCAATTCTAACTACCTGAAGATTATCGTATCCATTATCTAAATATTCCCATTACAAAGATATACAAAATATTAGACACTTAATACTATAATAAAAGTATATTAAAAGCAATTTTCTATAATAAAAAGAAATATATTACAACCTTTCAAAACTGGAGGTAGTTGAATCTTGCGCAGAGACCACTCTTTTTTATTATTTGTAATTTCTGAAGCGAGTATAAAAGTATTATTATTCTCCATAATACTATTTGCGGCATTAAGATTATTCTGGTTAATATGATTAAAAATAGCATTTGCAGCATATTTATTTGTAGGAAAAGGACCCAGTTTGTCCATAAAATTGTCGTTTTCATCATAAGCCCAAATATAATAATTGTGATCTTTGGTCATGGCATATAATATAAAACCACCGAATTTCATTGCTTGCATTCCAAAACCTTGTGATGTGTTAAGGCCAGGAACACTGGATAATACGTCAATTGATAAAAAGCCAATAGATATCACCGATTTGGAAGTTAAAAACCTGACTTTTATATAACTCGCTTTTAAGTTATTATTAGCTTCAATTATGCATATGTAACCCATTCCAATAGGTGCTATATCACAATAAAGTCCAAGAAAAGTTACGTTTGGTAAATTTATTTGATGTAGGAGAACTGTGTTAGATATGTCTGGCTTATTGTAGTATATAGTGGTCATATACAACCCGCCGGGTTTGGATAATGATGAAGTATTCGATGATGAATTGATACTCAGTATAGCATAATCGCCAGTGATAGTTGGTATTGTTGTGATTATGAAAGAATCTTCAGAACCAATAACATTCGGATTAATTATCGAAATATTATTACCTAACAGTTTTGATATTTTTCCAGAATCATCACTATATAATAAATAATTATTATCGTTAAGAAATAATTAAAATCGTTAAAAAATAATTAAGATAGTTAAAAAAATTAATAATAATCATTATCAAATTACACTGAATATTGCTGCCATTCTGTCCAACTTGAGTTTATAGCACTGAATCTAAAAAAGCCTTGTTTCTTATTTAAATTTATTTGAGTCATACTTAATGGTTTCCAAATCCAGGTGCCACTCGAATTATAAGTGTTAGACGGACCATAATACATTTCACTAATGATTTACATAATAATAGATCGATATTAATAATATTAAATAAATTTAAAATAAACATAAAATTTACAAATAAAAATCACTACATGTATCACACCTTATATTTCTACCTTCCCAATCAATAACATTCCCCCATTCTTCGTAAGTTCTAGGGTCATTTGAATCAGGGGTTTTCACGTAATTTATTAAAATAAATTTATTATGTAAAGGATATATTGTAATAGGATTCACTAGATTTCCAAATGAGTCATTAAATATACAAAAATTCACAGGATCAAGGTTCAAATGGGGATTAATTTCTTTAACGGCACCATCTAATTGAATAATTCTTAGCCGAAATATTTGTTCTAAACTCTGTCCTGTGCAATTGTAAGGATTTTCTAATATTTCGTGATTTTTTTGCGTTGAATTAAGTTCCCGTGCAATACTGACAATAATTGTTCCGTCATCATAAGTATGAACGGTTAATATTTTCGGTTGATTGAAGGGGAATGTGGTACCTGCTGTACTCTCTGCATAGTTAATATGTTCGTAATTAATGGAGGTTGTCTCTGATTTTGATGATGTTATGAGTATACAAAATAATGTTAAAAATAAATATTGTGATATAAGCTTATTATGAAAACTAGACAACCTCATTATCAGTTACTATTAATTAGTTACTTTTAATTTTATTAGAACTTTTACGTTCATACAAGAAAGTTAAAGAGTCAGGTATACGCTTAAATATATAATGGTGTGCCACTATTTATAGATAGATTAGAAAGTGTACCAAATCGCACCAAATTTACGCATTTTGCCAAATTGAAATTTTTCACAATATAAAAAATTTATAAATGGCATGATAAAAAGCCACAGTTAATAATAATAATAACATTACTTATATTTATATATATGTCTTTAAATTTTTGGTGGCCTAAATAAAAGGTTTATTTTTAATGAAACATAAATAAATCGTAAGAAAATTAAAAAAATCATTTTCAATAAAAGTTGCAAATCAAATTAGAGTGTGTGCAATATGTCTTTAATTGAAACAATTCTGGTGCTTCTACACCGTTAGAATCTACACAATTAGAATCAGAAACCAAATGTAATCTTCCACGAAAAAAAATAGTCTCCATGAATAATCTTTAAATTTATTTTTCTTCAAAGAATTTATATTATACAATAGAAATTATTATTACGTGTTAAATGTTGAAATACAATGTATTAAATGCTACGGCGCATATCAAATGTTACGACACGTCATTTGTTACAATACATGTAAATGTTACTGCACATGCAAGTTGTTACGGCATATGTGAGTCGAGACCCTGTTGACGTATCGTTACGGCTATCGGGATGTAAAAAGGTTACGTCACCTATCACATTCCTGCACCTATAATATATAGTGCGTAGCAATATCGTTAATGATAATTAATTTCATTTGTATGTTAGTAATATTAAGTTACATTACGTGTTATTAATCATTTTTATCAAAGTTTTTTTTTCTTTCCCCGGGGTGATGACAAATAAAGTCGGTTGATAATGGGCTTTGGTCACTTACCCGAAAAAGTTAAATTTAAAGGAAGACAAAGAAAGTATGATAAAAACAGTTAGCAAGATGAATAGCATTAGGGCTAATTTTTTTAGTGATCTAAATAGTAGAACCGATTACTTATAACTCTGGTCAGATTTGCCGATCGTCTGGCCAAGTTCAAAATGATTTAATTTTGAATCTGGCCAATTGATCTGCAAATTTGACCAGAATTAGAAGTAATCGGTTCTACTATTTAGATCACTAAAAAAATTAGCCCTTACGGATATCATGTCGTCATATAAAACGTTGAATAACTCATTTATTCCGCCATGTCGGGAAATAATTGAAATATTCCCCCAGCGGCGCAATTATGGGCGCAAAACGCCCACGATGCCACTTGGGAAATATTTCATTATTCCCACCATTCCAGGAATAAATAGTACTTATTTTCGTCACACAAAAGCACTACTCGCCTTAACATATTTAGTTTGTTATATGCAAAAAAAAAATAATAAATTAGATCTCATGATGTTCGGGCGTTATTAAAGATTGAAAATTTCTTTAAAATGTATTAGTTTTAATAATATTAATTTTATATTAGTTTTTTAAAGTATATATTTATATATTTATAATGATTCTATTATATTATTAAATTAATAAAACTTATTTGTAACTGTTAAATTAACATGATATATATTTTAACAATTAAAAATCTAGTTCATAACTTACCACAGGTTTTATTTTATATCATAATCCATGTATTTAATTCAGGGAATAGTTCAAATATTGATTTTTCTAATCGCTTGCTTAATAAGTAGGGCAGATATATCTATATTGTTGTGAAGTTGATTAAAAAAGATATACAACCCACCAGGAACGAAATGCAACGACTTGTGCATTGATTGATAGCAATTTCACATGACGTCATATTTTTCTGTTACACTCAAAATGCATCTTAAAAGTTTAGGATAACTAGTTTACTTTAGCTACGATTGACTACAATGACCGTATATGCGCTAAAATAAATATATATATGTTGATGTGATTTGCAGTTACGAAAAAAGCAAACAGCTCTATGTATACGTATCAGTATATGACGATAAAGATAGTCTAATTCATTAAGTTGTCACATACCTTCCATCGATTAACTTTAGGGTTAGTTTAATAGCAACTGTACGTAAGAAAGTTGGATGGATGGTATTTCGGTCAATTCAGAATAATCAGATGATTCTAACAAACCTGTATCGCTAGTTTTCTAATTATTGTAAAATATTTATTAAATTACAAATATTTCGATTGTATCTTTTATATTATTTTCATATATTTAGAAAACTTCATCGTTTTGTAAAAAAGAAAAATTTTAAAGCAATTTTATTATAATGCATATTTAATCGGGTCAAGTTTAACCTAACCCAAAAACCAATATGACTCATAACATGTAAATATTGGATAATAATATATTTTGCACGAATAATGGTAATAACCAAAAATTAACACACTGCAATATATGGATAAAAATTTCCTTTAGTTTGAACACCAAAATTCTTGAGTTCTGATAGAATTAACTGACAACAATTTCGTCGAAAATCTACCTCTAGTTAACACTATCCATAAATCATGCCAATCCTAACCTAAACAGAGTCATTAGGCATTAGCCTTTTCATTATTCGATTGTATAACCCTTTTCCTTATGCGGTAGTATAAAATAGCAATGCATACAAGAAGCTTGAGGAAGGTCGTTATCAGCGCCATTAATGGTATATAAGAATAGATCACTATTACTGAAAAGTAAATTGCCTATTTGAAAAAAAGATATAACCAAGATATTTGAAAATTTATATCAAAAATTACATACGTTCAGTAAATATATAAAATTTATCGACATACCATAATAACAATAAGTGGAATATCCTTACAAATAATTTCTATCAATATTCTAATTAAAATAACCGTTTTAATTTGCTTCTTAACATACTCTTCTTTCTTAGGATCATTTATTCTTTTAACTATATGATTACTTATTCTTTCAACGTATTCTCTTGATATGGCATCCAAAAATATTAAAGATTCGCTGTCAATTACTGCACACATGACAAATATGAGATGTTCCATATCTATGCGCCTACGATGTTTCTCTAATGTATTATCCAGTAGGATATCTATGCGCTTATGATTATTCTCTAATGTATCATCCAGTAGGGTATCTATGGGCTTATGATTATTCTTTAATGTATCGTCCAGTAGGGTATCTATGGGCTTATGATTATTATGATTATTCTCTAATTTATCTTTTGTTGGGTTTATAATATCTTTCGTTGTCTTATACAAGACGTTTCTGATTTTATTAACACTAAAGTTCATTGTGCTCTTATCATTTAGTATATTTTCAGAAAAATTTGCTCCTTCATTAGAAGTTTTTTGCCTATCAGAACTTCCTGGTTGATCGGAATCATCTTCATTATCATATATTCCTAAATTATAATAAACTTTTTGAAGAAGTTTATAAAAAGATTTTTCAATTTCTTCTCGAATATTTTCAAAACTTTCCTCTTTGATTTTTTTGGAAAGTTCATTGGCAATTTTTGGTTCGATTTTAGGTACAATCTTGGTTAAGATATCTTCTTGCAATTGGTTACAAAATTTTTCCAACATTATGGTGAAAAGTTCCTCTAGTAACATAATAGCAATTTCAATACGTATCTCAGCAAATATTATTTGTTTGATCTTGCGAGGTTTTATTTCTTTTGAAGGATTCATGTTTGTAGTAAGCTGTATATCTGTTTGAATATCTTTGGAAGGATTCATGTTTGTAGTAAGCTGTATATCTGTACGCTCTGTTTGAATATCTTTTGAAGGATTCATGTTTGTAGTAAGCTGTATATCTGTATGCTCTGTTTGAAGTTTTTTAAGTGTTTTAAGGGTTATTACTGGAGAAATTTCTGCAGAAAGTATATTATGCACGTAATTCGCATAATTTTTAGATATTTTAATAGAGATTTTTTGAAGAATTGCGGGTATCTTTTCTTTAACTTTGGATTGTATCTTGCTGGCAATATCTTTGTCCGAATTGTCACATAAGTTGCCATCATTAAAAATGTCGCCTATTATTAAAGGAATGTCGTTTAGGGTCGTTGAAGCTTGTTCACTTATTTTCGTTCTTATTTTATTCGTAGTTTTGTTTTGAGACGAAACAGAATCCTCTTGGATTGTTTTGCTTGGAGGCGAAACAGAATCCGCTTGAATTTCTATTGTCATTAACTCTGAAAGCAAAAACTTTTCAGGTGTTATATTTTCGTTTCTATTCTTTTTTGGGGGGCGGTAAAACATTTCCTTAATCTTATCCCTTTTAGCTTTCAAATTTTCCTGAATTTGCCCCGTTTTTTCTTTTGTAAATCTAGCACGATAGATAAAAATGGCGATGACTATTACTAAATTTATTCCTACTTGAATGCCCCATATAATTATACTTTAAGATGATAAAAAACAAAAAAATCAAAAATTAATTTGATAAGAATTGAAAAAAAAACTTTCAAATAAAAATGAAATCACCTTGGCAAAAAAAGTTCTGGTTTTTCTTCTGTATTGATAAAGACAAAGTAAGTCATAAAAAAGAAATTAATAGCAATGATTGCATAACTTGTGTATAAATGAACTATATCAATAATCTTTTGCTCGAAATAGGGAAAGCGTTTGAATGTAATGAGGTATAAAAACATGATCACTATAAGAATTGCAATCGATACACTAATTAAGGTTGAATTCTCGACCCAAAAATTACCTAAAATATATGAGTTAATTATTTTTTATTATTTTTTTTTAAAAAAAAGTATAATCTTAAACTTACTCATTGGTTCAAAGGGATGATCTCTATCCAAATCATTTGTAATACCATTAGAAAAGGTTGTGATTTCCTTATTTGAAATCATGGTACTTAGATCCGCTACCACACTATCGACAGTGGTTTCATTAAAACCTGTTGGCAAATCGATTTTAATCGAAAAAACGATTTTTTCGCCGTGATTAATATACTGGAATTTTTCATCGGTGCTTAGACGTGTACGTTGGACTGGTACTTTATCAGCAATTTCATTTAGCAAATTCGCATAATAAGTGGTGCGATCAGATTTAGAAAATGATATGAATCTCTTCTTGGCAGCGTTAGTGAAACTGACTAAACCAACAACAGCAGCACCTATAAAAATATATATGAATTAGTTTTGAGTTATATGAAGATGCATATATGAGTAGATCTATGTATGAAAATAAGATAATACCTGAAGAATTATAGCTAGTAATTAAATTTTGCGAATTTTCTATATTGATTAAAAATAAAGTAAGAATTTATATCGAATAAAATGACTACATTCTAGATAATGTATTAAATATTACGTGAAGAGAGATTCCAAATCCCTGCACCAATCCCGTTTAGAGGCTCCTGATAAAAACTACTTTTAACAAAATTATTGTCCATTTGTATATAATAATTTTTATTATACTCATTAAATGTACTAGGGATAATCTTTATACTGATAGTTTTGCCATCTGGACTGAGTTGACAGAAATCCTGTGTCGGTCGAATTTTCTGTCTATAGTTATTTGTATCAGATTCTTGGTAAATAGTTAAATTACCATGCTGGGGGTCGGCGTCCGATAATACAACAGGATCATAGAACGTTATATTTATAGTTGTAGTAGATTGATCTATACTACCATTAATGGCTGGGGAAACTTGATTTATTTGAAGATTACCGTAACCGTGATCTAAAAAAGAATAAATGCTCTTAGCAATCTATTAAACATAAGAAAAATAGATTTTTATGTAATAATAGATATATACCCTTAGATTCTAAAATTTTAGGCAGTGGAATATTGTACAAAGACCAAGAAGTGTTTTGGGTATTTGAGTCAAGTGTTGGGATTAGAAAAGAATTATCATTTTTCTTAAGAGCAAATGCACCAAAACTATTTGTAGAATAATTATTTTTAGGACTTTGTTCATCTGATGCCATTGTTGAAGTCAAAGTTTCTTGAAAATTATATGGATCATATGCATAGATATAATAAGTTCCTAGATTATCACCACTATGTATTATGTAACCACCATATGGCATTGAAAGCGTCTGCCAACCTGTTGAGGGTATAGTGACGTTAGGGAGGTTGGATGGTTCATCTACATTTATCAATGATCCTGATGATAAGAAGTTAATTCTTATATATTTTCTTGTGATACTTGCTGTGCCATTACTATTCAAGTTAGTAAAGTCGGCAGTGATTGTGCAAACTTGACCAACGCCAACAGATGCTAAGTCACAATAAATTCCGGAAAAAGACACATTACGGGGTAACGTATAGAGAAGAATCGTTCTATCTTGAACAGTTTTGTCATATGCTATGAAAATAGCGTACACTGTGCCACGTATGGTGAATGAACTGTTGGTAACATCAGTAGCATTGGTAGCATTGGTAGCATTGGTAGCATTGGTAGCATTGGTAGCATTGGTAGCATTGGTAGCATTGGTAACACCGGTAGCATCGGTAGCATTGGTAGAATTAGCGAAGATTATAGCATAACCACCATCGATAGTGGACATTCTTGTCATATAAAAGCTTAGAAGATTTTTACTAGCAAATTGATAACTAGTATTTGTTAGCATTGATAAATTTCCGTTATCACTATTTGAATATAATAAATAATTATTATCATTATTATCATTAATAATTAAAACAACGAAGATGATAATTTTAAAAAGATTAAATTACACTGAATATTGCTGCCATTCATATGAAAGAGTATATGGGTTTCTTACTACAGCTGTTCTAAGAAATCCCAATTTGTCATTTACGTTTAAAATAAAGTTACTTTGACTTTCTCGCTTTATATCCTTTAGTAAAGGCCTGCCAAAACGGATTGTACTAAAATAATAGATCGATATTAATAATCTTCAAAAAATAAATATTAACACTTACAAATTAATCAAAATCACACCTTTTAACGTTGTTATTCCAATCGATAACAGTACCCCATTCCTCATAAGTTGTAAGATCAGTTGAATTTGTAGAATTTAAATAAGTTACTAGAATGAACGGTTTTTGTAAAGCAGTTATACGAATAGGAGTTCGCGTGCCAACCAAACAATAATTCTGAAGATCTAATTTTAAATCGAGATTAATCTCGATAATAGTTCCATTTACTTGAATAACTCTTATACGTAATATCTGTTCGAGTCCACGAACCAATGCTGCATCAATTCCTAAATACTCTGAACAGTTTGTAATTAAATTCATGTCATATTGTATAATATGAGCGAGAATTGTTCCATCAGAATAAGTAGCAAGATTTGCTACAATTGGTGGTTTATGAGGAGGTTCAATAGCATTTGCTGATGTTTCTGTGTAGTTAAAATAAGTAATATCAGCTTTCGTCGATGCTATGAATGCACAAAGGGATATTAAAAATAGACATTGTGCTGTAAGGTTATAAGAAAAATTAAATAATTTCATCGTGAGTTTGATTATTTTTGTGACTAATTGTTTAGAACTTTACATCTCATACGAATAAATTAACCATTAGAAAAATGGATGTACTTTTGTACTATTTTTTATGATTTATTATTCAAAGGTTATTGCATTTAACTAGTATATACCATAAAGAGTTAATTCTTCTACGTATTATTGCAAAATACTCACCTTGTATTTTTTTTGTATTTAAAATTTTACATTCAGTAAAATAATATAGGGACCTTAAAAGTACGTATTTAATGAATCTTTTTTTTTATCTCATATTAAGTAAAGGGCGTACATACTGTACCTATAAAGGCAGTAAATAAACGGTAGAAGGGTATGCACGTCTAATCGGCTGTAATGAAGAAAATAGTTAAAGTTATTATGCAGCCATTATTATTAACAACTGCACTAAATACGGTTTTTATGGCTTAAATTTTAATGATGAGCTTAACTAAAAAAAGGTGGGAATGAAAACAAAAGTTTAAACTGATGACATAAACTATACAAATAGAAAAACAAAAAGTACAGTCGTTAATGACTGCCTTACAATAATATCGTTATAGCACAGTTATAAAAAATATACACGCGTGTGGTGTGTTGAATAACGGCAGATGATTGGTTTAAATCATATACCTCGAAGCAGCATTATCTGCGTCAATCACCTGCCGCCATTCGACGCCCACGCGCATATTTTTTTACAACTTGCGCTATAACTATAATAATCGAGGGTAGATAATCACAGAAGACAAGCGAATACATTAATCTTTTTGGGACACTTCAAAAGTGGTAGCCTGAAAAGCTTACCGATTTCGAATGCTAATATTCAGTAATAATAATTGAATGATAACCAAAGAATTTAATCATTATGTTGATTTCTTCGATATCGTTCTTGCTGTAGCAAATTTATATATTTTTTTTTGCAAATTTTTTGATAATTATTTAACGAACTTATCTATACAATTCATTCTGAGTTCGTACGTTTTAACGTTTTTTATTGTTCATATCCTAAAATGTGATCTAGGTGAGCATGATTGTGAGAGTATTTATCGCTCTTTTCAATTTAGGTGGATCGACGATCTGCATGGCTTTTTTTTTGCCACTTCATGTTTGTCGTATATGTGGATTTTAAAATGAGCCCGACGAAGTTGAAGTGATGCAATCACAGGACTCGTGAGACTCAAAAAAATTATGAAGATAATTGATCCAACTCGAAAGGAGCGATAATAGTAGTGCACAAAATTTCCGAGTAATGTAATGTGATTTTTTTCTAACCTGAGCTAATCGGAAGTCATTATTATAAATGACGGAAATTTTCTGCCTGTTGAAAAATCGAGGCGGAAATTACCATAGATGGAAATCTCCGGCATTTTACAATGAGTTTTATGCTCTGGATAATATAACAAGTTGATATGGTGCGATGTTTTCTCATTGAGCTGATTCAAGTATAGATGGTTGTCAAAATTCAAAAAAGAAAACTGCAACAATATACTTGATTATAAATTATTTCTATCAATAGATTCAAAAGCAGTAAAATCTTATGTTGCTAAATGTTTGTTATTTGAAATGAAAGGAAAATTGGCTATTGTGGCATTTTTGTAATTATCTATACTCATGACTATTTGCTATCGGAATTATTGCTCAATCGTAAGTCTTAATGAATTTAAAGAGTATTTTCAAGTGCAAAAATACTTTAATAGCCTTGAAATTGTATTCACCTACTAATTATAGAAGAATTATTTTTAGCTTACGATAATCAAAACCATGTCGATACAAGTAATAATTAATCCGCTTGCAATTAAGTATTTGTTAGGCCAAACCAATTA